CCATAATCTTCTTAGAACTTTTTAGAATTTATTAGAATATTCTAAAAATATTTTAGAACTTTCTAAAAAATCTTCTTAGAATCAATTATTAAAATATTTTTAAAATCTTTTTGAATCTTTTAAAATCTGATAGAATATTTTGAAAATACATTCGAAATATTTTTGTTGGATGTCCGTACCAACCATTGCAATATAGTCATCAATTTAATCATTTACTATTATAATTATAGAATATTATGTTAAAAGATGTAAAGAAGTTGAAAGCCTTGTATTATATAATGGATTGTATTTAAAAATATATATATATAATGCAATGTATATATAATGCAATGTATATATAATGGATTTTTTTTAAAAAAAATTATCTAAGTTTTTTAAAAAATTATAAATGTGCCTAAATCAAAAAATTAATTAAAAATATCTAATAAGCCAAAAATATTATTAAGAATTCTAATACAATTATATATATATATATACTAAAATATCTTATCAATTTATCAAAATATAAATTTTAATTTTAATTTATAATTTTATATTCAAATTATTTAATTTGTAAGAAATATGAGATAACTGAGACCAAAGAACATAGCCAAAGATATAATGCATTAAGAAATATGACATTACAATCTTAAGAAGTAAAAATCAAATAAAACTACATAAAATAATATAATTAAAATAAGATTTTAAAAATCTATATATCAAATATTCAAATAAATAATATTCTTTTAGAAATAATAAAATAGTGTATCTTGTTAAAAAAAATAATGAATATGCAAAGCTACTTACGTTTAAATAACATATTTATATTAAGTGAGTCAAAATATTCTGAATATTTTGAAAAATAAAAGAAGTATGCACAAGTATTTATGTTTTTATAAATTTAATAATCATAGATTTTTAAGAAATTAAATAGATAGAAAAATAGACCTTAAAATTCAAAAATTTCAAAAATATTTTGTAGATATAATAATTAAATAGATTTTTATTCAAGATAAAAAAAATTATTTAATTAAGTTTCTACAAAATTTTAAATAATTATAAAAGATTTTTTTGAGAAAAAATAGCTTTTTGGTCTTCCATAACAGATAACAAATAACAAAATTAAATTCTCTCAAAAAGAAATAAGCCACACTATTTATTAAGGTTGATTTTTCATTAATTTACATATTGTGGTCAATTATATATTAAGCTTTGAATTTATGGAATGCCTATAAATAAAGTGAATTATGAGGTATTTAAAAGATATATTTGAATTCAAATTAATTTTTTTAATGTAATGGGTTTAATTTAGAAATATTTTATAACTTAATTTAAACTGATAATTTGAATCACCAAAGACAATAAATATACATGTACTATTGTAGAAATTAAATATATATATATATATATATATATATATATGAAAATTTGAATGAAAATTTTACATTACATGTCCTTCTTATAAAAGCATAATTTACTAAAAATAATATACTATAAAAATTTCTATGACTTAAATAAATTCTAAAAGATATCGAGTTAAAAAAAATACAATCAAAATTAATCTTACACAACAGTTGTTGGTGTATTATAATTTTTATCAAAGAATTCAAAAAATAACTTTACAAAGATCTTCATTTCCACCTAATTTTATTTAATAATTAGAAGAATCAAAAATAATAAAATCTATATGTATACATATTCTAAAAAACACATAGGAGCAAATGTATTTGTTATATTATTTGCGAATGAATAATATATGATTTTAAATAGGAACTCTAAAATTTAAAGTCATAAATAAAGAGATCTGTTTTATAAAAAACATTTGACTGGTTGAAATAGCTCTTAAAAGCATAATAAAAGTATTAGGACTAAATTTGAAGATGGAAAAGTTTAAAAACCTTCTTTAAAATAAGTTGATTGTAAATAAAAATTTAAATTGTTTTAAATAAAAATTTTGACTTCTAAAGTTTCTATAATTGCAAATAAAGCTTAAAGTTCTATCTGAATGTATTATATTAGAAATTTTTACAATACTAGTATTGAATAAAAAATATAAGATTTTATTATATTTATCTGTAAGCATCACGTCAATCAAATATACATTATTTTTTATTACATTTATTCAATTTACTACAAATTTGTATTTTAATAGTTACTTTATAGTAAAAATTAATTACCATTTATTTTTAAGTTGTAAGATGGTTTTATTATATTATAATAAATAGCTATTTACGAAAAAAAAAAAAAAAAAAACCATATTAATATTTTAGCACATATATATTTTGCATATAATTTATATTACCAAAAAGAAACTCATAAATACATATACTAAAATAAAATAATATAATCAAATTATATTATTATTATTAAATAAGTATGAATATATATATATATATATATATATATATATATATCCTAATATTAGGATATTATTTTAAATAATTTCTAATTTTAAATCTATTTTAAATAATTATTATAAAATATAAATATTTTTATATGAATAATTATACATATATATATATATATATATATATATAGAAAAAATTTATGTATTGTAATAATATGGATTACTTTCAATACAATAATATTAATTACTTTCAAGACAATGCAGCTTATATTGGATAAATTATTTTAATAAATCATTGAAAATATTTTTTTAATTCAAAAAATAAATAAATAATTGAAATTATATTTTTTAATTTCAAAAAAATAATAAATAAATATTTATTTTATATTATTAATTAAAATAAAATCTAACCAGTATACAAATTTTTATTTTTGTTGATATTTCTATAGATTTTTAATAATTTTAATGATGTCGTTTATCATATGTATTTTATATGTAAGCATATTCAAAGTCTATTTAATATCATATTTATATGTTTTTTACTCAAATATTTAATCCCTTGAAAACTATTTATCTCTAATAATTAATCAAAAAACTTAGAATCAACTTTATTCTATATAATAGTTTCTAACAATTGATTGATTTTTATTGAATTTTTTTAATTAATATAAGCCACTTAGTTGACAAGGTTACATGTCTAAACATGATTGGACAAGACAAGCCTACATAGTTGGCACAGCCATGTCGTTGCTAGAGTAGAAGCAAGTAATCTAGATTTCAAGGCCCTTGTAAGAATAATTTCAATCATGCCTTTAGCATATTATCTCTAATAATTAAATAATTTTTTTAAAATAGATGATTTAAATTAATGGAAGAAATTATTAATATATATATATATATATATATATATATATATCAAATTGATCTATATAAATCTTAAATTGATCCACCACTCATTGTACATACATTAGGCATGCATAATATAATTGTAAATGAGAAAAAAAAACTTAGGAGATGCAAAATTGAAGAATTGATAAGAGAGGATGACCTTTAGATTAGTGAGGAATTTTTGATGTGGTACAAGAGTGTAAAAGCAAAAGTAGATTGATTTAAGATTTATCTTGAGTGATTTAATATTTATCAAGGTTGATTTAATATCCTTTGATACAACTATATTCAATAGTATAACTATAGTTTGTTACAAACATCCAACAAGAAGATTTTAAAAATATTCTTAGAATATTCTATTAAGTTTTAAAAGGTTCTAAAATATTCTTAGAGTATTCTATTAAGTTTTAAAAGGTTCTAAAATATTCTTAAAAGATTCTTAGAATATTCTAATAAGTTCTAGAAAGCTCTAGGATGAATAAAGAAGTTATTTAAGAAGCTTCTTAAGGTTGCTTCATCTTCAAGCAACATGAAAACTTCTCAAGGAGCTTCCTAAGGTTGCTTCATCTTTAAGCAACATGAAAACTTTTCAAGGAAGTTCTTAAAGTTGCTTCATCTTTAAGCAACATGAAACTTCTTGAGAAGCTTCCTAATACCAAGTATATATTGGAGTTGAGGTTGAGGGGATTCTCAGTATTGACAACACATCTCTTAGAGTTCTAGCTCATCTTTCTTGGTATTGATCTTGTATTCATCTGATTTAATCAAATTATTATTAGCTTTCTAGTTGAAATTCTTCCAATCCTTCTTGTTTGGTCTCTTATATACTATAATTGTAACATGGATCTAATCTTATCTTACAATTATTACACAATCTCTTTTATTAACTATGCATCTAAATCTTCAAATAATAATGGTTAAATACTTTTAATTCGTTACTAAATAAAATAAAATAAACTTTATATAGAATGGTTAAATATTTTTAGTTACTTATACATCAATTTAATTATTGATTGATTTTTAATAAGCTATATCACCCTTAATATTTTTTAAAAAAATTATTACTATAAAATGGTACATTTATAAAAGCCTCTTGATATTAATATGTCACATAATGCCGCATGGTGCCTTATAAAAGATAATTTCATTATATTTCTTCAGTTTTGATTTGATCCTACAAAATTTTACAGCAATAAAATATTCAAACATTATGCAAAATATTGCCAAGTTTTTTTACTTTTCAAAATAATTTGCTAAAATCTAAATTTTCTATACAAACAAAATTTGAAAAGAATTTTTGCACATCTAGATGATTCCAAAGATGTTCAATAACGGTTGAAATGAAAGCTCAATTTCGGTAATTTAATTAGGTCTTCAATGGACAGCACACATGTAAACTGCAAACCCATCATCCAGAATGTCTGCAGACAAGAACCTCGTCAGCAGGAGAGAAAAAATTTGAATCACAACTGCACTTTGTTGGTTGCCTCAGACGAAACCATACACCATACTACTGGGTGTCAATTTTTTTCAGTCAACCGCCAGTTAGAAGTGTAGAAAACAGAGATGTGGTGCAAGTTTACTGGCATCATCAAAACACTGCAACGCAGCCTCACAAAAACAATCCAACCACATGGTTTGTCTGCTTCGCAACGGTTGATAAGTTCATTGAAACACAAAAGACTAGAATAAATGAATTTGGACAACCTTAACAAGTTTTTCCAAGTATAACCACAGCACACTCAAGAAAGTGTGCTCAGTGAATTTCCAATATCAGAAAGATGTGTGTGTGTATGTGTGTTTTTTTTATTTTTTATTTTTTTTATTAATTTTTTAATTTTTAAAGTAAATAAAGTACAAACTGAAAGCTATTCTATATAATCGCTATTTCTCAAACTCACAAGGATTGTCTTAACATCCTCAAAAGAATCGAATGGAAATTCACAGTTACGTGATGAAATGGAAATGAAGTGACTCTAACGCATTTAGTGCTTCAAAGCACAAAACCTAGACCACTAATATATCGTCCCAATCCTAATCTGGGATCAGCACTACTTATACTGTTAATGCCACTAAAGTCTGGTTCAAATTGATCTTCCAATGGCTCAAAATAATTTCCATATACATATTCTGGCACGTACCCTTCACCATCTTCGTAGACCATGACATGCCCGTGCCACTCCCAGGTACGATATCCAGATCCCTGCTCCTCCTGATAGCTCACGGACACAGACTTGCCATTGCCTAGAACGATTGATTTGCCGCTGTTGGGTTCGAGCACTTCCCATTGCCCATTGAGAATTAAGCCCACAATCATGTCTTCGAGGGTGGTTTCTTCTTCTACGACCTTAGATCTAATGTTTGACCCACACCGACTATCCGACATGTCCAAGTTAATTGCATTGTTACCAAGACTGAAAGGTCGGATGTCCAAAGCTTCCATCGCCTTGCTAAGTGGAGAGATTTCAGACCTAGAATTACAGTTCGGTGGTGTGACTGATCCGTCTTGTTTTGATGAGCTTGTGGTCGTGGTCGTGGTCGTGGTCGAGGTTGGAGCTGGTTCTGAAACTGCTGATACTGGCTTGGATCTAGCCATGGTGAGGAAACCCGTAAATAAAGACACTACACAAATGTAGATCCCCCTACGTTTCGAAACCTTCATGCAAAGTTGTTTTAGCGTTAAGAATTCCCTTTGCGTAGCTCTAAGTTGAGCTCCTTTGACCACTACACCACGCAAAGAGTTATGGAACTCTGGCCTCTCAAGTATCTGCATCATTCAGTCACTAGAATTAGAGCTTAATGGCACTTGTAAAATCAACTTCACAGCAACTTCAAGCAAAGCCATTCTGAAGCACCCAGAAGCAGTACACAAGCCTAAGAGTATACAAAGCACGGAAGTTTCCCTGTGCATGGTGCTAACAAAACTCCACCATTAAGAACCGATCAGCATGGACCTGAAATCGTACCTCACTGCTGACTACTGCTACGTATTCATATGCTAGAATTCCAGTATCCCAATAAATATAAGCATATTCATTTATGCTACGTGTGGTAAACCATTCACAATCGACACTTCAAAGCTCCTTCAGAGTAGAAACCAAATGTATGGCGATCGCAAGAACCACTATCAGCAACACTACGTCTTACATGACAAGAATTTACAGTTAGGGGGTTTGATTATGTTATCATTTCCACAAGATTCAGGCAGGCATGGAAATTTGATCCACTCGTGTCAAAAACTGCAAAGTCGAACACAGCCTCCCCACTCCAATGGAAGAAGAAGTCGAAAACTTCCCAGTAAGAATTAATTTATACAAATACTCTAAGAACATCTCAGACTCCACTGCATCGTTGCACATCTTGGAATAGCTCCTCCACAATCCTCACAATCTAAACTGCTCCTTAGCATCAAACCTCTCCATATTGTTTGATGTTATGCCACAGCCAGGAAACATTGATTAATTGTGTGTTTGACTGAGAGGTCGAAAGCAAAGCGAGAACAATGTGTGGATCCAGGACCATAACAGCGCATGAAGTAAGAAAACGACGCCAGCATGGACAAGTCAGGCCAATCGGTGCCACGAATTGCACATGAAGAAAGAGAAAAAAAAAAATTGTCACAGCCGTTAGAAAGCATGCCAGAGGGGTGATGAAACCATACCTAGACCATACGAGTTGAGAATGTTTCTCCGCAAAAATTCCCGATTACGCTCTCTATGCAATCTACTTTCCACCCATCCACCCACCGCTTAGTTCTACGCCCTATTCACGATGGTGGTGTACATATTCTGCTACCCACCGCAAAAAAACAACCCCTCCGTGACGATTCCAATGACCCAAACCAAAATTTCGGATTGAATTACACCTCCGCCCAACTCAATTCTCCTCTCTGAACACTCTACCAACCATGATCGGCCCTCCAATCAGCCCAAATCCATAACCGCCTCAAAAAAAACCCAAACGAGCAATCACACGCCACCCCCAATTCTCGACACAATTCCGCAAACCGCCAACCAAACCGCAATCAACCAACAACCCAAAATCCCTCACTCGCACTTATCACGCACAAATTCAATACACAGAATCGGATACGCTCGAGATGTACACACACACACAAACTACAGAACTCTTAAGGAGACACAGAGAGAGATAGCGCGCGACTGAGCCAAGGGCAGATTACAGATAGGGTGCGGGGACCCAGTTGTCGATCCCGTACCGATATGATACAAATCCCGCAACAGAAAGAGATGGCGATGAAGGAGAAAATTGGGTGGCGACAGAGCAGGCGCTGCACCGGCGATCGGAGGCTGAGGCGAAAAGGAAAAATAAAAATTGAATGAGGGGGCGACGGACGAGGAATTCGCCGCGCACTGCCACAACAGAACAGAAAGCAGAGAAAAGCACAGCAAAGGGTGGGGGGCTGGCCAAAGCCCCGGGACGGCGATGGGATACCATGGCAGCCTGGCGGTAACGCATACCCGACCCCTCCAGGTCAGCTCCGCACCCCGCTACCCGGATCAATCTCCCACCCGCGCCTACTTGTGGCTATTACTGATACCCTGTCTTAACATCCGAGTATCATCCTTTCCAGTCTCTTCTCAGTCGTGATATTTCTGCGCGTCTGTAGGCGGGGCTTTGGATGACGGCAGCCATTGGTCTGACGTGGAATGCCAGCGTGGAACCCATAATGCTCGTCCTGGCTTTGCGTTGCGTCGTCACGAGGGTCCCCAACTTGTAAACGAGGCCCTGCCTGTGAAGGTGGAGGAGGACGAGGACGAGGAGGAAGAGGAGGTGTAGAAGAATCGGGGTGGAAATGTGAGGATGGTGACGACGACGACGATGATGATGTTGATTTGAAATCCAAGCGTACCCAGCGAGCATTGTTCGCTCTGTCGCTTCCTCATTTTGCTCCTCACTCCTCGTGGTAGGATGCGATTTCTCGTCTCGTGAGGACGATCTTGGAGCACAGGAAGGACGCACAAGGATCGAGAGAGGGAGAGGGAGAGAGAGAGAATGGAGGGGACAGAGATGGTGCCTGCTCATCCTTACCTGCCCACTTCGTTGGAGCTGCCGGGATTCCATCCCGCGCTCATGAGCCAGATGTACATTTTGGGTACCTATGGTGGGGCTTCTGCACTCGTTGTGCTCGCTGTCTGGCTCTTCTCAGGTACATCTACCCTCACTTGGTTGCAAATCTTCGATGTGCAATGTGGGTTTTTTTTTGTTTTTTTTTAATTTTGTGTATTTATTTATTTTGCTCTTGTTGTGTGTAGTTTCGTTGCTGGAGTCTCTATGAAGCTGTTAATGTACCTTGCTGTTGTAGCGTATTTTGCGTCTCGGATAATAGTGGCGTTACTTTCATGTAAAGTTGAGAAGGTTTTGTTGGTGTTTATATTAGATTATTTTTGGTGACGGTTTTGGGTTTTTTTTAATGAGATCGTGGTAGTAGGTGCTTGGATTTGGACCTTTGTGGGAAGGTTATCATTGGCGATGGTAGCTGTCGGATGATCAAGGATACTTTTGTGTTGACGTCGATGCGTTTGGTAACGCTTTGTAGTAACTTGGGTGTGTAATAATTTTGTGTAAGGTCTTGCGGTTAGTGGTGAGTGTATACATCTACAGCCATGCCAGCGTCTCTGCCAATACGACATGATTAGCTTAGTATGTCTACTCTTACATGTTTTATTCCTGACATTGAGAGATGACTTTTATATGGTATAGCTTGAATCAGCCCAATGCAACAATCTATAGACCCAAGCGCTAGTTTTTATTCTTTTGCAATGTAGTGGAGACAAGAGCAGCATATATTTATATATATATATATATATATATATGTATAGACAGAGAGAGAGAGAGAGAGAGAGAGAGAGGGAGAGAAGTCTTGGTTATCCCAATGCTCAGCGCTCTTCTCGTTTTGTTTTTCTGGAACTGCTTGTAAATCTAAGAGCGAGTTGTACTTCGCATCTGGCGTACTTTTAATCTGGTTCATTGTTTCACAGCAATATCGTGGCACTCTGATTGGGATAGGTTTTCATCCGCTAATCAAGCCCTGTGTGACCATGTTCATTTGTGTGCAGGAAGGTTAAGGACAGCAGATAGGCTTCTGATGTGTTGGTTTGCTTTCTCGGGACTAACGCACATCATTCTTGAGGGTTACTTTGTTTTCACGCCCAACTTCTTCACATTCTCAAAACCTCATCTATTGGCGGAAGTCTGTAAGCTCCTTACCTCTCGACCTTTGTGAATTGGTTTTATTGCATCACAGCTCACAGTGACCACGTCAAAAGCCGCGAATTTCCCGTTCATTCAATCGGCAATGGTGACCTAATGTGCTCTTGTGTCTGGCGCGGAGGCAGGGAAGGAGTACAGTAAGGCTGATTCTCGCTACGCTGGACGTGATCCCACAGTTGTGGCTGTAGAGGGTATCACCGCAGTTCTTGCTGGTCCGGGTTGTCTCCTTGCAGTGTAGGTTCTCTCTTTCCTAACCTCGTTGGGTTTACTTTTGTTTCTTTTCAAGTTCGGGACATGCGTCTTAAGCTGATGGCACTGAACACTCTTTGACTGCAGATATGCAATTGCAGCCAAATCAACATATGAGCACACACTTCAGGTGGTGATTTCAATTGCACAGCTGTATGGAGACATTGTGTACTTTGCCACAGTGGTATTGGCTGGAGTTGAGATCTGTGCACCCGGACCGGTTTACTTCTGGTTTTATTTCATGTTCATGAACGGCATCTGGATAGTGGTTCCCCTCCTCATTACCATCCGTTCCTGGAAGGCAATCAACGTTGCGTTTGCTAGCACAAAGAAGAAGATTGCCTGAATGTATCAGGCTTAAACTTTACCATAGCTTTGCTCGAACAGGATTCTGAGATACACACACATACGTGTGGCAGCACATGGGAAATTATGAAATCGTCTTATTACCCATGTGTTTGGAACTAAATGGACTGTGTGCACTCCCAACTCTTGGTTTCGTTGGCGTTTCTTTTTAGGTGTTGGTGTACTTCTAATTCTATTTACTTTGGAATGAACAATGCATGGCGCAGCTGAGCTTCAATATGAATCCTTGGACCTCAGCACTAAACCGAATAAATGTTCTAAAGTGGTAGAAACTCAGGCTGTTGATTTCATCAATATGCAGCGACCTCATTTGTGTAATTCCAAAGCTTGTGTTCGTAATCTTGTAACATTTCTTCTTCTTCATCATCTTATATTTTTTGAAGTGGGGTCTTTAGAAAAATTCCTTTTTACATAATAAAATCACTGGATAAAGTAGGAATATATCTGTGATGGTGAGTTGCCATTCAGAAGTCGTCAGAGCCCGTGTCACTGTCTAACCCATAATCACAAATTGCAGCATTAATGTCCATTAAATCATCGTCAGATTCTTCTCCTCCGCACTGGTGGAACATGATGCAAGTATCACCAGATCAGCCAATGCAGCAGCACCAACAGTATGGGTGTAGTAACGGAGTTGATTTGAACTTAACAGCCAAAGTGAATGTGATAATCTGAATATAGTAATAATATGATGTTGGAACTACCTTGGATTCTTCATAATCACCAACAGAGGTTTTAGTATATTCCTCAATTGTTGGTTCTATCGGTACAGAGCTGAGTTTGATTGATTGGAAGTCGTTGCTACGTCCTTTTGCAAAATATCTACTGTTGCTCTTTCTGGAAGGCATTTTTTGTGCATTCTTGCCCAAATTGTAATCCTCCCAGTTGCTTTCAGATAAAGGTGTTTCCTGATGACACTTGAAAATAAAAATTAAAAAACCAATGAGTTGTAGAAAATAGTGGCGAAAGGGTTATCCTTGCTTCTCTTTTTGTTAATTGAAATGTGGTATTTAAAAATATTTAACAAAAGAATTGGTTGTTTTGTGGAATGTTAAAAGAATTAGTTTATTATGACACCTAATAAAATTTATAAATACAATGAAATGCCATCATAAATATTGGAAAAAGATTATGTTTGAAATTTCATGCTTAAATCTTATGCTTAGAATATTCAAAAGCTATCAACATACCTATTTGAAGAAGAAGAAAATGTTGTTTGAAAGTAAAGATTGTAGTATCTTACCAATTTCGGTGTTCTTTTATATACGGTCTCATTTGGAATGTCTAAATTATCTCCTTCTGTTATTGTTAAACTTCTCTCAGGGAGCCAATTCCATGTGATTGCACTTTCATCCAGACTTTCCAAATTTTGAATGTTTTTTTCTAATTCATTATTCGAGTTTTCATCCTAAAAATATAGAAAATTAAATTAAATTAAATCTGGAAAATAGGTTTCAACAAATTCTCTTTAAATTCTAAAACATGTCTCTCACTGTGTGTTAATATACATGTATGTATGAGTGTGTGTGATAAACATATATACATGTATGATCAATGAAACAGTAAATTTTTAAATTTCACATAAAACTACCTCATTTTTAAAAGGCATTTGCAATGAATACACACATCTATCATCTTCATTCAAATGTATTTGCTTATCATGACTTTGCCTTCTCACTTCTGTCTCTAACCACTTTAAATTTTGAAACTTTTCAATGTATTGTTTGAATAAATTACACAAATTTGATTTCATTTCATCATATTGATCTGTATAAGTTGGTCTGTGCAAAAATCCAAACATTTAGTTTAGAGCTTGTGCATATTATATTATTGCAACTTTGTTAAATATTTGTTTTTAACAATTTGATCAAATAGAAAGAATAAATAAAAGTTTTTTGAGTTTTTAAATCAAGTGTATATTTATCAACTTTTATACTTCACAAAAATCGTTGAATATTTTAGTATACTTTAAAAATATTGTATGCTAAAATAAAAATGTGATTGTATTGGTTAATCTTACTTGACATTTTGAAGAGTTGAAAACCTTTTTTCACTTCTTTTCAATTCCAACTTCAATTTCTCGCATTTGGAGTGTAATATTTTTTCCCGGTCTTCCTTACAACATAATTCTTGATTCTCTTGGGTTATACTAGTTAGCATTAATTCTATAGCTTGCCGAATATTGAACTCTATATCATCCATATTGACATTTTTCATTAAAATTTGGTCTCTTTGCTCCTAAAGATCCAAATTCTTAATGAGAAAAGTAGCACTTTAAAGAAGGCACCATTTACGAATTATATGAAAATTAATAATTAAAAATAAAAGAAGAGAAAAAATTATAATCTACACAACATGAAATAAACTGAAACGTAATCAAGTAAATAAGTAGAATTTTCATACCTTAAACTTGGGCTCTACATTCAGCATATCATACAATGCTGTTCCACACTTAGTGATTTCATTCACAAGTGTTCTAGTAGCTTTGGCATTGTGAGGTTTTGCAAAAGGTAACACATTTGTGTTGTCATTTCTTATATAAACCTAATTCAAGAAAAAAAAAAAAAAAAAAAAAAAAAGGGAAAAAAAGAGAGAAGAGTGAATGTAGTTATTGAACAATAATACCAAAATAAATAAATAAATAAATAAAATGACTTATAAACCACTAAGTTTTATGCTTTGTGTTGTGTGTGTGTGTGTGTTTATTTTATTTTATTTTATTTTAATGATACAATTTTGCTTAACACCTTATCAGAGCTGGCTCTTTTGGTTGCAATCTTCAAAATTGTTGCAATTTTTAAGAGTTCTTTTACAGCATACCCGTCTGCAGAATATACGAATTTTGGATTTAACTTGATTTTGGCCCTAGCAAGCTAAACATTTTTGCATTTTCATTTAACTTGATTTTTTTTCCCTTTTTTTTTTTTTTTTTTTTTTTTTTTTCCATCGTTTATTTTGTTCAATTGATCAATGCGAAAATTACTTCAGTGTTTAGTCTACAATATAATTATAAGTATCTGTTGAAGATAACTACTTTTCAAACATATCACATGCATCAAACTTAATATTTATAATTACCATCAATTTTGTCGCTGCTTTAACAAAGTTTACACGAGAAGCCTCTGTGGAAATATCTTTTACCAAATCAATTGTAGGATCAAACCTGCAACATATTCTGATTTTTTTGATTTATTGTGTTCTCAAACTGTAATTGAATTTTACAAGATCTTGCATACTACACATGGTGAAACTTAACATTGTAACAATCAAAATAGCTTTTCACCATCAACAATGTGATTTTTGCTCATTCTCATATTTGAAAATTTCAAAAGAGAAACATTCCAAAATTTATGAATGTACCTCAACATGAGCCAATGCAAGCTATTAGCAACTAACTCGAAGTTGGGACTATTGAAACTCTCCATGGAAACCTTGCTTGGGTATCCAAGCTCTTCCATCAATGAACAAAATTCTAAAATCCATGGAACCACAAACTATTTTAATTTTACTAGTTCCACTACATACTTAAGCATATATTGTTATTTTTATTCAAACAACATTAACTTACGGATATATATATATATATATATATATACACACACACACACACACACACTTAAAAAAATAAATTAGGTATTTTTCTTAAAATAAATTAAATCTAACAAACATGATTTCACTTATGTTGCAATGTGTAATAACAAAATTAGCTACATGTTATATGTTTTGTGTAATTGTGATTTTTTTTGGAAGCTTGATAAACTAAATCTCATAAACATATTAAATTCAAACAAATGAAAGTTAAGAAAAAAAAAAACACACACACAAAAAATTATTATTTTTTATTTATATTTTTTATTTAGATTTTTTTTTTTTTTTTTTTTTGAAGAATAAAGGTTTACTTCGGATATTGGTGAAAGACATGGAGATTGAGAAAAATAAATAAATAAACAAATAACTAAAAATCAATCTTGTAGTTAAAGAAAAAGCCCCTCTTTTCAACACCAAAAAACTATAATTTCAGAATCCGAGAGATCTATACAAGAAGAAAAAAACACCATAGAAATACAAATAAATAAAAACCCCTTTCTCTAAACTTGTCAAGCTCCAACAAACATCCCCTTCCCTTCCCTTCCACCAACATCCTCAAGAGGACATCCCCCGTACCCGGCGTTGAAACCTGACTCGATAGCCTCCCCGGGTTGATACGTGGGTCACACATATACCTGGAACTTATCCGTGGCATATCCATTCCAAAACCGATATATACCCGCCCGGGAGTTAGAGAACTGGATCCGGCTGGGCCTACACGCAAGAGGGGTGTTCACTTGGAGCTCCGTGGGCGGAACTCTTGAACAGCCTTCCCATTTGAAGAGCGGGAGATCCATTCTTCCCTGTGCTTCCTTCCTGTGTGGCATTGCATTTGATCGGCATTGCTCGCCCCAACTCTGGTTCCCGAGGGACGAATTGCGTCATTGCATTTGTGTTTCACCACTTTTGGATTCTCCTTTGAGGCACGGCAATGAGGTGGACGTAGCATCCATTGTTCATGAGTTTCATCTTCGTCGAGGGTAAGTTGGTTTCACTGTGAGTGAGTGAGTGAGGTAGTGTTCTTTTTTTGGGGGGGGGGGGGGGGG